AAAAAGATGCAAAATGCGCTTAATTTTTTTTAAACGATTGTAACGTTTAAATTTAAATATTTATTATAAAAACTGAAGTTTAGTACAAACTACTATTGCTATTTTTTAGGGGCATCCGACAGCTTGGTCTTTTCAGTCATGATCGAATGGGAAATATTACTGCACACATTCAATACGCATTCACACAAATAAATACATTCACACCTATATACAATGCATTCATTCTATTTGGTAGATGGAGTACTCAATATTCCTCCATAAATCCGCATACAATAACAAACTAATCTAATTGGGGTCGATGAAGTACTTTTATAAATATTCAACCCAAGTCACGTAAACAGTTCGAGGGGTGTTGGGGATGCTATTTCACCATCAGCCGCTCACACTAATAAATACACGCACTCAAACAAAGCACAAAACACATAGAACAGAACTGTGTACAATAAAAAAAAATCACACGTCCTCCAAAAAGCTGAACAGGAGACCCAAATAATCACTACTGTGCACGAGTACTATTCTTAAATTCAGAGGCATGCCTATGTAAGCAGCTAACTCATGACAAGTTTCTTAAAAACTAGATTATCTTACATTGATTGTTGACGCCGATGCGTAATTTTCTCATTCAAAATTAGTTAATTAAAAATTCTTATTAAAATTCAAGTCAGTTCTCTTTATTTTAAGCTCTCCGACCTTATGGTTGGTGTTGTTTTATTCTATAGGGTGTTATTAAAATTTATTTTTTTATCTACATCCACTCTCTTCTATGGACGGATACAACCAAAAACTTTCATAAAACGTAGTTTTTTTTTTTATTTTTTTTTTTTTTAAGTATAGATTTCGCGGAGCTGCCCGCTCCCCCTCATCAGTTGTTATGGCTTAAAAATACCAAAAAACTTTCCAATATTTACAAAAAAATACTACAATAAAAACTACTTTTTATGAAAGTTTGCGTTCGGTTGTATCCGTCTATGACAAGCTTGCCGTGTGTCAACCGCGTATGAACTATTCTTAATCGGGTCGCGATGTTGAAACGCAAAGGCAATCGATTGTTATAGAAATCGGTTTCTTAAATTTATATCACAATTTTTTGCATGTAGGTTACTAAAAGCAGACAGTTTGGATAAATATATATTGTTTATATATATTTTTTTTGGGGGGGGGGTTAAACTGTGAGCTAAAAGAAATAAAAATGCAATCTTTATTATAATCGAAGAAATAAATAAATAAGAATAGGAAAAAAATTGTCTTATTTCCAATAAAGGACATTTCACTGCATTCGTGTACAGCGTTGTTTCATTTTTTTCTTCTTTTCAAAATACCCTTTAAAAAGTGTGTTTATTATGATGTCTTTAAAAGTTTGTCATTGGTGGTAATCTGAAAGAGGCAGGTCTCGGCAATAAGAGGAACAAGGGAAGGGGTTCCTTGATTAATTCTGAATCCCTCTTGTTTAATTTTAATTAATCTATTTACTACTCCGTTTAATTAAATTTATTATACCTTTTAATCGTTTTTTGTAAGGTTCGGATAATTGTGTTAACATCCGTTTTGTTTGATTAGTAACCCGTGGTTACCTTTACAAAAGGAATATTGTTCTTGCGAAATTGTCAAGATAATTTGCTAATTTCAAGAAATAACACAGTGTAATGTTAAATTAAGATATCATTTTAAGGAATACAATGACTTATAACATACATTTGTAAGTATAATTTCCTGTAACTTTTTTTTCTCAGGAATTAGTAAACATCATTATATGTTGCTAAATTAAGATATTTTTAAATGGTAATATTTTATTTACGTTAACTCCTTCATCCTTCAAAAAAATATCTGGAGGTTTACCAAAATAATGTACAATAGTGCTAGGTATGAATGTATAATACAAATATCCCTTCGGGGGGCCCATTTTTAAAAAAATAAATCCCTTCTTTTTTCAAAGAATTTCTAAGGATTCGTTCGTTGAAGGCGGTGTTTAGGAAGAAACCCTCGGCAAACATTGTCCCGTGGGAAGTTTGTAGGGCTGGGGCCCAATATTGACTCTGAACCGCTCCGGATTCACCGAAAGCCGCCCCCGCCCCCTGGGGAAACTCGCCCCTTTCGCGGTTATCATTTTAAAAATAAACTTACCACCGGTCGCTTGATGCCAATACTCGCGAGCGACGATAACAAAAAAGCCCATTTCCTGAAAGGTATTTATATATGAAAAGCATTTTCCGCTACCCAAACCAAAAATAACATATACATAATACCAATAACAACAGTTCAATTATGTAAAAAATCTGTCCATCGGAAACATTATTTCCTGTATAATGTTGCATTCTGATAACATAAATTGACTGAATAAAAGGAATTGTTATAGTAACCATTGAAATGTATGTTTTCCTTTGTGGGTTCATATTAATAAAAAATGAATGGAAATGTTAGAATGTGTGTGACTTTCCGCTATATTATAAAAACGTTGCCGTCCAGCGCCGTAACTTCAGAGATTTGCAGAGCTCCTCAAGCATTATCAGCAATGAAAAACATTAGAGCTGGTTATGAGAAAATAAAACACTACTTTTTTAGAACGATGTTTTGGCCTTGACTGCTCCCAAAGTGTTCGGTTTATAAATAAACGACAGAAATAATTTATCTATACGTAATTAATCTACTTGTTAGTAAATGGTCATTCTTGCTAATCAAACAACACGAGATCTACCATACGTCCATTCTATATCAAAATTGACAATTTACGTATGGTCAGATGGATCTAGTCCATTCTAAACTCAACTCATATATTCATTTGTTTGAAAGCGTAAGTTTAGCTGGGCATATTTGTTACCGTTGTAAATTATTAATGTTACAAAGTTTTGAGGAAGGTGATAAATTCTTCAAAAGCTTGACGAACTGTTTTCTATTCTTTCAAATTAGGATACAACCATCATTTTAATGTAAAATTATGTGGGCTATTGGGTTGAAGGATAAAGTAAAGTTGGAAGGATTTTTCTTCTATAAGGCCATGAGGCAGCTATTGAATAAGGCCACACAAGATGTTGCTCAACTATTTAGCAAGTTGGATAGTGTGGACTTAGGAGTTATGTGATGAAGGTGGAAATAGTCTCTAACTCCACAGACACCCCTAGAAAAGCTAATAAATACAGAAAAATATAGGACGGTTGCCTAGTTGAGACTCAGGCCCTTCAAGGTCAAAACTAATAATACTCGCAAACAAACACATACATAAATTGACTAAATACGTTTTTTTTTAATGTTTTATTAATGATGTCTTAAGCCCACGGATCAATTCATAAAATTCACCATTCGCTATATAAACAAATATAAATTCTGAAGTACTAGCTTTGAAATGATTTGTGGTAATTTGAAAAAAAATTAAAGTAGAGTGCTTTGATTTTCCACGTAGGCTAAAGCATGAAAGGGATGTCCGAAATCCAAGGGTGCTTTCATCAATCAGTTTTAAGGAATGAGAACGCCTTGTGTATGTACAGTTTAGATTAGGGCGGCGGAGTTTGTGTTTTAAGCGTAGAATCCCTTAACGCGCTTTCAGACCCTCGACTTACAAAGTCCCGCCGCACCTGACCTCAGAAAGCAAACTTTAAACTATGTCCCTAGCCGCACCCAGACACCGGGAGTCAAGGGACGGAATGTTAATTGGATTAACGCCCCAAACTCGACCTAAGTGGATAATAAACGTCTAACAGTCTTGGGTAGAGACGTTCAATTCATTCAATGTAAATTCTTTTGAAGTGTCCACTTTTTCCAACTACAACAGATACATGCTGTATGACATTGTTAGCATACGATACTGTTATGTTCCACCATAAAGAAAACACAAGTGGATATTGTGCGGGAACGAGTTTTCAAGTTCTCGACTCTTTCAAATTGAAGAAGTCCATTGTCACAATATTGGACCAGCTGTACCGATCTTAACCAACAATTTTTTTGTAGGGTCAAATTATCCCACCGCCGTTGCTGGTGCTTTCATAGGGAAAGTATGGAAATTTCGTGTACAAGTTGCACACATCGAGAATCGGCGCTCGGACCAAAGGTGATTGATTGAATTTATATCGACCTCTCATAACGTTACACAGCTTTTTACATTTTATCGTCGTCTCTCTTAAACTGGGATCTTTAGTTTATTTATTTCTTCATAACACAACGTAGACCTTTTGTTAATTTCGTTACGACAAAGAAAAAATTACACAATTTTTAATCAATCATAATTCAAAACATTTTTGTGCAAAATTTATATTTATTCGGAAATCTTGAAATGCGGTCGTGTGATGTAGGTTTCAGAAAAATATTTTCTTTATCATGCCAACGTTTCGATCTTTATTATTGAGATCATCTTCAGGGCTCAAAGTGTTAGTATTCTTTGTGCCATTCTTGCGTGTCGTGTTGAGAGTGCCCACTGAAGATGATCTCCATAAAGATCGAAACTAATTAAGGTTTTGGTTGAGATAAAAAAGTCAGTGTCACATACGGGATTCGAACCCACGACCTTCGGCTAAATTCGCCGCTGTACTACCCTTGAGTTATCGTGACTTACATCCACTCGGGTCGTGGGTTCGACTCCCGCTTGTGACACTGACTTTTTTATCTCAACCAAAACCTTAATTAATTGAAAAGGATTTACTTGGTCAAGCAGACCACGAAACCTAATAAAAAGATCGAAACGTTGGCACGATAAAGAAAATGTTTTTTTTAAACCTACGTCACGATTTCCGAATAATCATCGACTAACGGTCACTAATCACCATATAAATGTATAATGTAATTTTCTGCCACGTCTAATCAGCTTTTTCAACGTGCAATTTGAATTTAATACTGGAACTAAACAACACTTCTAAGTATTGACAATGTCCACAAAATGTATCACCTTATGAAGCATCACAATCGTATCAAAAGATTGTTGTTGTGGTTTTAATGAAAAACTTTATTCTGAAGATTCAGAAAAATTTCATCTGCTTAAAATAATATTTTCTTTAATTTTTCTTATTGTAAATTCATTAAAAACTGGAACTAAAAAACTATTCTTAGTACTTACAATGTCCAAAAAATGTATCATCTGACGAAGCATCACAATCATAGCAAACGTTTTTGTAGTTATTTTAGTGAAGAACTTTATTCTGAAAAATTAAGAAAAATTTCATGTGCTTAAAATAATATTTTTTTCATTTTTATTGTAAATTCATTAATAACTGGAACTAAAAACTCTCCTTAGTACTTACAATGTCCAAAAAATGTATAACCTGACGAAGCATCACAATCATAGCAAACGTTTTTGTAGTTATTTTAGTGAAGAACTTTATTCTGAAAAATTAAGAAAAATTTCAGTTGCTGAAAATAATATTTTCTTTCAAATTTCTTATTGTAAATTCATTAAAAAATGGAACTAAAACCTCTCCTTAGTACTTACAATGTCCAAAAAATGTATCACCTGACGAAGCATCACAATCATAGCAAACGTTTTTGTAGTTATTTTAGTGAAGAACTTTATTCTGAAAAATTTCCTCTGCTTAAAATAATATTTTTTTCATTTTTATTGTAAATTCATTAAAAACTGGAACTAAAAAACTCTCCTTAGTACTTAGAATATCCAAAAAATGCAAAACCTTACAAAGCATCACATTCATAGCAAAAGTTTTTTGTTGTTTTTATAATGAAGAATTTTATTCTCTGCGAAATTAAGAAAAATTTCAGTTGCTGAAAATAATATTTTCTTTCATATTTCTTATTGTAAATTCATTAAATAAATATATAAAAAAATTTAAATTGTTTTTCTATTCAATAGTTTTGTTTCATTATAGCTTAATCTCTTTACAAATATCAATTTTATTGTTTTTGATTATTTAAAGATAACAATATTTAAAAAAGGTATGTGGTAAATATAAAAAAAATTGTCAGACCGATCGAGGAATACCCTTTGGGATCTGGATTTCAAAATCTATGTTGGGTCCATTCCTTGAAAAGCTCGATAATGGTGATTATTTATTAGTCTTTTTTCTTTTGGGCAAATTCAAAAAGCATTTGACTCTATTCACCACTCATTGTTATTAAAGAGACTCTAAAAGTGTGGTATTAGAGGTACACCATTTAACTTAATTTCCTCCTACTTAACAGGAAGATCGTAAGCCGTTAAAATTAATGAGATTAAAAGTAATCTTCTCTTAACTTGGCATACTATTGCTGGCAGAAGCATCACAAGCATGCGTACATCAACGACGTTTTTAAACTCATTTTAAAAACCGAACAATTCTATTGAAATTTTGCAATCGATATATAAATGATGTGTAATAATACAACACGGTTATTAATTCTAGTTTGTCTTTCTAATAATGTCACATTTCTCATCTGAATATTTCATTTTCTCGTAAAAACCATCACATTGCCGAAAATCATAAATGATGGTCATAAATTATGGAAGAGAGAAAGAAAGAAACAGAAAGAGAGAGAGAGAGAGAGAGAGAGAGAGAGAGAATGAGAGCGATAGTGCAAGAAGGACTGAAGAAAAAAGTATTTTGTGCACTATAATAATGCCAAAAACGTGTAAAATAATTATTTTATTTTTAATTACTCTGTTATAGCGAAACATAGCCAAATACAGAGGAGGTTAGTTTAAATACAATATAATATGTACATAAAGAAGAAATAATAAATAAAAATAGAATAATGCACAATAATAGACAATATACATGTGTAATAAATTGATATCAAGTAAAATTACAAAGAAAATACACTGATAGAAAAATTTAACCCAGCACTCAATTTATTTAGTTTAAAATTAAATTCATTATCTTTCTGCATCAATTACAGTTAATTAGAAGCTATTTTAGTTCAAATAAACAGTAAATAATGCTTTGTTTACTTCCTTTATTTACTTTTCTATTGATTAATCCCATTTGCACAAATGGTAGTATTATGCCCTTCCATTTTGCTACACCTAAAAATCGCTTTCCGTTATTCTTTTCATTCGTTGATTTCGTTTGATATTATTCTTATTAAGTCCATTATTTAAAAATGGCAAAAAGCAGGGAAAATTCGAAAGGTTGTAGGTTGAGGTGGGGAGTTGGTGTCCGAGTGATCGAAGTCACAATAGGTCAAGGCATATTTAGCCGAAGGTCGTGGGTTCGAATCCCGCTCGTGGCACGAACTTTTTCATTTCAACCAAAACCTTACATAAAAAGATTAATTAATTATTCCGATCCTTAAACATTTTTTAATGGATCCAGTCAAGGATTTGAAAGGGTAGGACAGTGTTAGGGTTATAACAATATTAGAAGAAGGATACAGCCAGCGCGAAGTCGCTAATCACTCTATAATACGAAGGAGCTTCGCCGCTTCAGGGAAGCAAGGTTTCACACTAGAAAGCCAGGGGGTCGACTTAGGTCAACGGACAACTTAGATGATGGATTCATCGTTAACAGGCTCTACGAATCCGAAGCATTACGGGAAATGTGATAAGAAATCTGGTAAGACAATCCGAAATGTTTCAATTTCCTCTGAGACTGTAAAAAGAAGACTCAAAGAAAATAACACTAGTGGAGCTCTTCTTACCACAGCTCAAAAAATGGCCAGGCTTCAATTTGCACGGTAACAAATGAATTGGACATGGGAAGATAGGGAACGAATTCTCTTTACTGATGAGGGGAGAGTAGGCCTGAAAGCTTCAGATGGGCGTAATTTCACAATGAGACGCTTAGGAGAAAGTACCATACTGTACTTATTATCCTGGTGGCATTCGACGGTGGTTCATTCATATTCTGGGATGGCATTTTCTTCGACGCCCGCACCGAATTGGTTGTTGTGCGAAGAAGATCTCTAACTTCATAGAGGTACTTGCAAGTCATAATTGAACAACATGTAGTGCCACCTGTCCCCCAAATCGGTGAGAGATTCTTGCTAATGCAGGATAGTACTAGACCTCATAGAGTACGTATTGCGAATGACTACCTAAATGAGGTTGGAATGGAGTGCTTGATGTGGCAAGACCGAAGTTCATATTTGAACCCAGTCGAACACATCTGCGGTCTACTTCAGCGACAAGTACAACGGCAAATCCCTTGTCTTAAAAACATAGAAGAGTTGAAAACGGCTGTTCTTGATAAATTCCTCAGGATTTTATCAGAAATCTTTTACAAGGAATGCAAACGGGTAACGAACGTTATTTGTACCAGAAGTGGAAATGCGAGGTAATAATATTTTTTTATGCATTATTTTTATAATCAAACCGCCTTTTGGTATGTATTAAAGTTTATGCCATTTACGTTTTAGTGGTCAATTGACCAAGTTACTTCTTTCAATCAATTATTCTTTTTATGTAAGGTCTTGGTTGAGACAAAAAGTCAGTGTCATGAGCGGGATTCGAACCAACGACCTTCGGCTAAATACGGCTGCTCTACCACTTGAGCTATCGTGACTTCGATCCTCTCGGACACCAACTCTCCATCTCAACATACAACCGTTCGAATTTCCCCTCTTTTTGCAATTTTCAAATGTCGTGTAATTAAGGTTGCATTCTCAGCGATGTATGAAGTGGCCATGGGAAGCAGTTTACTGAAGTACTTATTTTACTTATTAAGACAATTATGTTTAGTGGTCTATTGACCAAATTAGCTTAAGGTCGAGGGTTCGAAGTGACACTAACTTTTTCATTTCAACCATTCTTTTACTTATTAAACATTAATTCATTTACGTTTAGTGGTCAATTGACTAAGTTACTTCTTTCAATTAATTATTCTTTTTATGTAAGGGCTTGGTTGAGATAAAGTTAAAGTTTAAACTAATTTTAATGGTGGTGCGTTAATTTCATCAATCAGTGTAAATTAGTTTCCGGTAAAATTTAAAAACAGTTTTGTTTTGGTCTCTTTGACCAATTGATTAATAAAATTCCTTTTGTCACTGATCAAATCGATTAATCTTTTATCCTTTTTGTGCCGCAATATAAATTGGCAGGGAAGCTTTAAGAAACAACGTCCACTTAAGCAAGAAAATCGATTTTGTGACTGGCCGCCATAGTCACTTAATAAACGGGTCAATGATTAACGAGGATATCAAACTAATAGGCCGAAGCGGTTCAAATCCCCAGCGTCGCATAATCGCCACCCATTGTTCGGAATGTTATTCGATCTTCTCTTGCCAAACCATGATTGCGATTGTCTCCGAACAAAGAGACCTATTTTAAAGAATGAAAACACAATTTAAATCGTGAAAAATTATAGCATTAAGTAGTAAAAGGAATGGTGGTTCTATTTAGTGGCAGGTTTGTTAATATTATTCGAAAATCGTGAGATTCGGTCTGGTGTGATGTAGGTTTCAGAAAAACATTTTCTTCATCGTGCCAAGGTTTCGATCTATATTGAGATCATCTTCAGGGCCTGGGATTTACAAACAATGTTTACATTTAACAAAAACATGTAGGATGTGGAAAAAATGAATTTATACAATGCAAAAAAATTTTTTTTGTATATTCAATCAAAGTATTTCTACTCATTCAAAGTGTTTGTTTTCTGCGTAATTGTGCCATTCTTGCGAGTCGTGTTGAGAGTGCCAGTGAGATATTGCTGTTTTATGTTTATATCCGTGGGATTTTGAAAGAGTGGGGAAGGAAGTCGGTATAGAAAAACATTTTTGTATAATGACACTGACATCTCAAGGACACGCCAGAATGGCACAATTACTAGAAAACAAACACTTTGAGTGAGTAGAAATCTTTGATTGAATATAAAAAAATATTTTTTGCATTGTATAAATTCACTTTTCCACATCCTACATGTATTTGTTAAATTTAAACAATGTTTATAAATCCCAGGCCCTGAAGATGATCTCAATAAAGATCAAAACGTTGGCACGATAAAGAAAATGTTTTTCTGAAACCTACATCACACCAGACCGCATCTCACGATTTTCGAATAATCATCGACTAGCTGCACTTATCACCACACATTTGTTAATATTTTTGATCTGATCTCCTGTAATTTCACTATTTGCCAATTTATTTGTAACATCGGGAGAATTTTCTCTGACGCTTGGCCTCGCCTCGTGTACACATTTTGTCGATCTAACTTCTATTGCATACGTAATACAGGATAATAATGTAACGAACTGTTAACTAAAGCTAAAGACTAGCTTTCATCACAAACGATAAATTTAGGAATATTTGCTTTAACACTGTTTGCCTTTCTTTTTTTCCCTTTCTGCTACCACTTTTGGAATATTTTTTTAAAACATCTGCCAGTGTTTGCTATCCAATCAGGTTACTTTAATATTGAAATGTGTGTTTTTTAGCGACCGGTTGTTCTATAATTTGTTGAAGTCGTGAGAAGCAGTCAGGCATGGAGGATTTTATAAAAGACCTTTTTCGTTTTTTTGCGAACGTTTGGACCTTTATTCGGGTCATCTTCAGCTCCTGGGTGAATCGTAATCATATGTTGCTTGGAAAAAATACAATACAAATGTAAATAATATACATTTTTAATCAAGTGTATACTCACATAAAGTG